GCGCCAGGGACGGGGGCGCGCAGCAGCCTCCGCTTGCCCGCCTCCGCTGACCTGCCTCGTTTGGCCCCAAAGAATGTCCTCCAAGCCCAAGGGGACCCCCTCCTCGTCCTCTCTCGCCGAGGGACCGCCAGCAGGCTCCAAGACCAAGGTGAAGGAACAGATCAAGATCATCGTGGAGGATCTGGAGTTAGTCCTGGGCGACCTGAAGGACGTGGCCAAGGAACTTAAGGAGGTGAGCGGCGCAGGGGTGGGGAAGGAGTGCGGCCCCTTTTGCCCCCTGGGGGTGTCGGTCGGGTTTTCACTAGGGACCGCCCGATTTCTTAATTCCCAGGAAACTATAGTAAGAAGCCTGCGGACAGACTTTCTTTGCTCCGGCGACTCCTGAGAAGAGTTGCTGTACTTTTTTAGAAAAAAAAAAAAAAACAGGAAGAAATCAACTAGTGTTTTAATCGATGGACCTGGGATAGTGGGAGGGGTGAGCGCGCGTGTGTCTCCGGATCTCTGTGTGTGTGTGATGTCGGGGGAGGGGGATAACGGGGGTGTGTCGACCTAGGGAGACGTGAGCAGCCCGGTCCGGGGCGTACGAGCTGCTCCTCGCCTGCCCTCTTGCTCACCTGGGGTCCTTTGGCAAGTTGTCCTTGCCTGGCAGCCTTCCCAAGCCGGAGCTGAAGCGGGGCCGGGTTCCGGGCCCTGGGCCAGGCCGGGGAGGGCAGCCCGGGGGAAGCTCGGCTCCAGCTCTCCTCCCCGCCCTCAGAGCCCCGCTGGAAAGGAGGGAACCCGGTTGCTGGCAGGAGAGCCCAGACTTGGGGACGTGGAGGGGGTCTGGGACTTTCTCACTTTCGCAGTTTCTGAGGCATCTCTTGCCCTCCTGCGAATGTCTCTCCTAGTAACTCTGGGCCTCTCCTCTACCCCCTTCCTTCTTGTTTCCCACTTGGCATGGAACCTGGGGAGCTTGGCGCATCCGTGGTGTGTGTGTGTGTGTGTGTGTGTGTGTGTGTGTGTGTGTGTGTGTGTGTGTGTGTGTGTGTGTGTGTTGCTCTTGGGAACCGGGACTGTTTTGGTTCTTTCCTGCTCCCCATCTATGCCACTTCTGCCCTCCCACCGCCGGAGAGAAAGAAGCGGAGGCAGTATCTGGGCTGAGCTGCGTAAATCAGCTGCTGCTCCAGGCGGGGGCGAAGACTGGCTTGGGAGGGGTGGGTCTCCCGCGAGCCGGCTGGCAGCTGGTGGAGTCGCAGAGCTAGTGGCAGAGTCCCAGCCCACTGTTCGGCTACCTAATGGGCGCCCGGTGTGCTTCTCCGTCTGGGAGGACGCACCCAGCAGTTGCTCCAGAGCTAAGACTGTAACTTCTGAGGTGGTGGTGCAGAGGCGGGACGGGAAGGGGTGGGGGCTTAGTCTAGGTCCAAAATTGTAATCTTGTTTCTGAGACCAAGTGGGAGGAAATGGAAGGTTGTTTGGATGTCTGGCCTCTAGAGATTAACCTCCTCTGTCCAGTTTCCAATCCAAGTGTGAGGAAAGAGACCTCCCCACCTACCACCCCACCCACCCTTCCTCCCCCCAATCCCCATTGCCTCTGTGAGCAAATGCAAGTCTGCTGAAATGACCCTTCATGGGCAGAGTTCTGTTTGCCGTGGCAAATGCCATTCCTGTAGGTGTTCCACAGACAGAGCGTAATTACTGCTGCGGTCCTGAGAGTGGAGATTGATGGAGCTGATAGATGTGGGGATAAAACTTGCTCATGTTTGCAGGGCTTCTCTAGGATCATTACTTCACAACTGGTTGACAGATGGCGAGTTGATGCATTCAAATTCAAGTCTAAAGATGCTGCTCATTTCTTTGTTATCCTTTCATTTGACATTTTTGGCAGGCTGTGTTTTCATCTGAAACATTATGACGTTGTAAAAATGAACAAATTTGGCCATGTTCCTTTTGGCAGAACTGTGCTTTATAGTTGTTGAGG